CGAATTCTTTCTCTCTTCCTTCGATAGACTCGCCTGTGTAAATGATATTAATATCAGTATTATTCAAATTAGTTAATAAAGGTGTATTTAAAAATGGCGCTTCATTCAAATCCCATTCTAAATTAATTGTTTTCAAAGTTTGATTACAAGTGAAATTTCCACAAAGAATGGATCCTTTTCCAAGTGAAATTTCATTAGTAATATATGTTTGATTATAAAGTTTAAGAGTTCCATTTATAACATTTACGTTATTTATATTTTTAGTCAAATAAACTTTGTCACTAGGTTTTTTGTCAAAAAATATTGATGAATTGTCAGATGAAGCCACTTCATTGAATGTTATGTTCCAATAATCAGTAAAATAATTAAGTACTATATTCAAATTTTCATTATTAAGAATGAATTTATATGGGAATGTAATTGGATATAAATGTTCTCCGAAGTAAATTGGATATTTATACATGAAATCCAATGAAAATAGTGGAAATGAGTATGTGTGTATTGAATGTGGAATGGAAGTATTGCCAATGACAAAGTTTGCAGGCGTTAAAAATTTATTAAAATTCGATCCAAAATGAAAATTATTTGAAAATAAATGAACCGATTTCATTGGTTTAAAGTCAACTACATCGTCTTCGATAGTAAAAAAAGGAGAGTCATTAGAATAAATAATTAAATTAACATTTGGACACTTTGAGAAGTCAATATGAGCTATTCTTGTTACTTTATCATAATAACCTTCTATTTTTTCAAAGGTGACGCCTGTTGTTGTGAAGTTTACTTTTAATGTTTCATAATTATCAAATGATAGAAAATTTAATTCACTTGAAAAATTGCTTAAATCTGCCTTAACTAATGAATTGAAATCAAATGAAACTGATTTGATACAACTATCATATTTAGAAAGGTTTGTAAATACTGAATTTTGTGTCAAATTTATTTTTTCAATTGTAAAAACATCATTTTCTGGAACATCAATTATCATTGATTTCAAATACAAATTAGAAACAACATTATTTCCAAATTTGATAGCTGCTTGGCATATACCATCTAATGAAATGAAATTCACTTGATAAATGGTAAAATTTACTTTATCAAAGTTAAAAAAAATTTCAGACAAATTAGTATACGTTGTGAATTCAATTGTTGCATTTGGAATTGGTATAAATTGATGGACATACGGAATGTCTCCATAATGAATATTATATTCTTTCTTTTCTGTATTTGAATATAGAAGTGCCAATGATATTTCTGGATTTTCAGCAAGACCAAAATAAATTTTATTTCCGATTGCTGTGAATTTGAAGTTTTTCTTATAAAATCCATATAAACTGCCATGTGAAACATAAATGTCAGTAAATTCAATATTTTCAACATTGTCAATTGTTATAACTGAATAATTCACTCTGTTTAAAAAGTCTACAACTTCAGGTATTAAATAGTTTCCACTGAAACCAAAACTTGCACCACATTTAATAGCGCAATTAGGATCATTTTCTATTTCAACAGATCCACAATTATTCAATCCAATATGAAATTTTAGCATTGAATCATATTTTTCCAAGATTAAATCAACACCTTGTCCTATATAAGTTGTTCTTGTCTGAATTAATCTACAACGAAATGCTGTTCGTTTATTTATAGCTGAATTTATCGAGCAAGCACCTTCTGAATTCCAAGTATCAATTACATATAATTCCCCATTTATACTTGTTCTTTCACTTTCTAAATTGATATATAAATCATGTGCTCTGAAATACAATGGTGCATTTACTGCTTCTAAATATAAATCTAATTTAGAATATGATATATCAAAGAATCTTTTTGGATGCTCACTAGTCCAAGTTCCATTGATCTCAATTTTTGCTGCGCTTATTGAAATGTTTGTCATGACAGCATCTATGTTTCCATCATTTCCCAAAATACAAATAAATCTATTACTTGTAACGAAAATAGGAGAACAATCAGTTAAGTCAAATTCAAGGTTTGATATCAGCATCTTAGGACCAGAAAAAGTAACTAAAGATGGAACTGTTGCCATAAAAACTGCATAAGGAGCAAAAGCTACTTTTGTAAATGATTCAGACAATTCAGGACTGTCGGATAAATGAAATTTTACTTTAATGAAAATTGTTTTGAAAACAAGATGAGATGAATAGCAATCCAAAAAATCAATAGTAAGCATTTGTTCATTTGATAATGTAGAATCAATTTGACTATCTTTCAAAAATGTTGCTTTATACAGACGTAAATCATTAGAAGAAGATTGGAAATCAACTGTTATTTGTGAAAATGTGATTTCATGCAAATTATCAATAATTTCATCTGAAGAACAATTAATCTTTATTCTTGGATTGACTCCAGATCCAACAATTGAAATGCAATTCTTATTAATACTAGAATATGGTAAAATAGGGTAATCAGCATCTTTTTCAGAACCAACAATTTGAATCAGAGCTTTTCCTTCAGAAAATTTTTGAGAAATTGTTGATAAATCATAAGTGGTTATTAAAAACGAACCTTCTTCACAAATTTCATTACAAACTTCTTCTTCTTCTTTGCAGACACAAAAGATGTTTCTTTGATTTATAGCTTGATTATTTACTGTATATTTATCTCCTTTAATTGCCAATTTATCTTTCCAAATGCAATCATTCAAAGTAATGCGATTAATTCCTGTGTAATTCACCATTTCAATAGAAAATGAGCCGATGCTAGTAACATTATCTAAATTATTAATACTAATGTCAACTGATTTGCGATCATTATCAGTATTTATTGCTCTCAGTTTAAAGAAATCTAGTGATTTTGTCAAGAAAATGATCGCTATATTTCGAGAATTGGATTCAATTATTAAATTTGGCACAATTTTTCGTGGAATTGGCACATCATAATCGCCATCAGTCAAATAAAAATCATCTGATATGGTGCATACACCAGTATAACTGAGCACTCTAACTAACCGAAAAGGAGAAACAAAATTTTGCATGATTGAGTTAAATGTATTAAAATAAATGTTAGTAATCATTTGATCATTTAAAAACACAAAATTTAATGATGAATTTTTGTCAAGTGTGTTACAATTTAGAGTAAGTTGGTTTGAATCAATTTCATAAGTGCCTGTATCCAAATAACAGTTGCAAAAAATCAAATGATCAATGTTTGAGTTTGATTTCATTGATCTTAATGGGTATTTATAATATGATGATATAGTAAAAAATTGTATTTTCTTTTGTATAAAAGATAAATCAATAAAAGTGACATTTTTTTCAATAGTCAAATTCACAAATTTTGTATCTTTTTGAATTACTTTGGAAAGTTCAGAAATATCACTGATAACATAAGAAGAGCCAAGGGAAGAGCTATCTGTCAATTGCACTTCAAATGGAATCGTTGAAAATGAAGAACAATGTAATGAAAGAACAAATCCATTTTCTAATGAAATATTAAAATGCAAAAGATTATCAAATCCCTCTTTTTCTTTATATTCAAGAAAACGAAAAAATGTATCAAACATGCTAGAATCAAATTGATGTGATTTGACTGTAATTACGTTCAAATTTTTAGAAACCAGTTCAGATAAACTTTCATCAGATTGAAAGCCTTTAAAGTCAACTTGGTACTCAGGAAAATCAAATTTTTTTATATCAGAAAATGTAACGAATTCATCAATAGTCACTAATGATGCTCCCCCGTAACCAAAGCAAACAGATGTTGGAAAATATTCCAAATCGGTCTTTTCTTTAAAAGTGAATTCAAATGTATGAATATGAACGTCAATAAATGAACTCAAAATAATTAATCTTGACAAATCAGTGATGATTTTGTCAAATTCTACTGCTACTTTTGATGTGCCTTTATCTGTTAAATTTAGATAAACTTCAGAAGTACTAATGAGTGTCATTGGGCCGCTAATTTTAACGGAATTTGAAATATTCATAAAGAATCTATTATAGCCTTTATAAAAACTAATTGAATCTATAAAAAGTGAGCTTGTTTTTATCTCGATACTTTTGCACAGAAAAAATTTCATCACATTTGAATCTAGGAATTTATTTCCTGATATCATAATTCTATCAAATCGACTAATTTCAAATGAAATATTTGATTTTTCAGCCTCGTTGAATAAATAAAGAGTGTTTTCAGGGAAAAATAAACCGTAATAATTATTACTTTTGACTGAAAAAAGTGGATTTGGGCCGATTAAATAGACATTAATGCCAGAAACAACAACACAGTTGTCTCGATGTGTAACTAATATTGCTTTTCTGTTAGAAAAATAAAGAGTGTGAGCTTTTAAGGAAGATGGCGAGATCATTGGATCTATTATTGTTAATGTATCGACAAAAATATCATTTGATTCTGTTCTTAAATTGATATTGGTTATTGTAATCGATGTTTTATCTGGCTTTGGATGAGATCCAGTAAATGTGATATTATATTTAGAAGATGCGTAATAATACATAGAACTTATGTTTAGAACAAGATTATGAACACCTGTAAAATCAAGTATCCCTGAAACACGAGTATTTACGAGTAAATTGAACTTTTTATCATTGAAAATTTTTAAAGGAATTCTGAATGGCACTTCTGTGTTATAACAAAATGTAATTTCGGTGTCCGAAATATTGATTTTGTTCGAAACGATAGAAGAAAAATCAATGGACTCATTAACGTTAAAAAAAGTTATATCATTATTATAGTTATAGCAATCAGAATTAGGAGTAGAACCATAATAGAAGCTAAAATTCCTTGGAGCACTATTGGCTAAAAAAAATAGAATTAAAAAGAACATTAAAAAATTTTGATATTTTGAAAAAATCAGAAGTTTATAAAATTTATAAATTTTCGTTTTCACAAAATTTGAGAAGACCGAACATTATTTTCTTGAGTGTAAAATTTGAGAAATATATGCAGCTTTATAAAATAATTGAAATATCGAGTTTTCCAATTTTTACGTTAATTAATTAATTATTAATTGAATTAAAAAAAGCAAAAAATACCCCTGATGGGAATCGAACCCACACCAAGTATTTCGTAGACACTTATGCTAAATCCATTACACTACAGAGGCTTCCTATTATAACAATAAATTCATAATTGTTGGGTTTATAATGATTCAAACCATTTGACATCTCTTCAAAAAAAAAAAAAAAAATTGTCAAAGTTTTTTAATTATGAGTACCAATAACTCTTCAGAAAAGAGCACTTTTGCTGAGAATTTACAAGCAAAAGAAGGAGTTCGTATAGAAAAAGGGCATTCCGCATATTATTACAAAGGTTTTGCTGACGAAGGGAATATTGAAGCAATGAATATTTATGCAGACATGAGAAGAAGAGGAGAAGGCGTTTCTGTTGATAAAATTGCAGCTGGCGAATATTACAAAATGGCAGCAGATAAAGGAAGCCTTTATGGGATGAGTCAATATATTGATATGATTTACGACAATGAAATAAATCCAGACAACGAAAACGATCTTTTCCATTACCTTTTAATGGCCAGTAATAAAGGTGACCATCATGCAATGAATAATATGGCAAATATGTTACGAGATGGGCGAATTGTTACAAAAAATCCAAAAAGAGCGGTCCAGCTCTATCAAAAGTCTGCGGACAAAGGAAACATAGCAGCTATGATTAATTACGCAAACATGGTCTATTACGGCGATAATGTTCCCATTGATAAACAAGAAGCGGCCAAATATTACAAAATGGCCGCCGATAGAGGAAATTATGAAGGGAAAAACCGTTATTCAGAAATGTTACACAAAGGTGAAATTGTCCCTGCTGGCCAAAATGAAGAAGTAAAATATATAAAAGAATTGGCAGATAAAGGAAACATTGACTCTGCATTCAAATACGCAAACATGCTTGATAAAGGAGAAGGCGTTGCATTGAATAAGAAAAGTGCAGCCAGTTACTACAAGATTGCTGCTGATGGGGGACATCTTGAAGGAATGTTTAAGTATGCAACAATATTAAAAAATGGTTACTACGTCCCTGTTGATATGAAAAAAGCAGCCCAATACTTCAAAAAGGCAGCAGATCAAGGAAACGTTCCTTCAATGCGATCTTATGCAGACATGCTTTCCAAAGGTGATGGAATTGAGATTAACAAAGAAGAAGCCTCTAAATATTATGGGAAAGCAGTTACGACTGAAAAACAAGAACAAAATGATTCTGGCAATAATTTTGAAAATGGTGATCCAAATGCTATGAATGAATGTGGACTTCTGTTTGAGAATGATGAGAGTTCGCCTTCAAATATGGCCAAGGCTGTTCAGTATTACAAGATGGAAATTGAGAAAGGAAATCCTGACGCAATGTTCAATTACGGACTCATGCTTTACACTGGAAATGGTGTTAAAGAAGACAAGAAGGAAGCATTTGGCTATTTTAAGAAGTCAGCTGAATTGGGCAACAATTATTCGTTGTGTTATTATGCAAGCATGTTGAGACTGGGTGAGTGTGTTATTAAAAACCTTCCTGAAGCAGCTCGTATTTACAATATTAGCGCTGATAACGGGAACTCTGAAGCGATGTTTAATTACGCAGTCATGCTTGATAACGGTGAAGGAATTTTGGTTGATAAAAAGAGGGCCATTAAATACTATAAGAAGGCAATTGAGAAAGGAAATTCCAATGCAATGTACAACTATGCATGCATTCTTCAAGATCACAATGAAAAAGATGCCATTCCTTTATATAGAAAGGCTGTTGAGAAAGGAAACATAAAGGCAATGTACAACCTTGCATGCATCTTATGCGAAGGCACCGATGCCGATAAGAAAGAAGCAGCTAATTTGTTCAAAACTGCAGCTGATTTGGGCCACATTGGAGCAATGTATAACTATGCAATCATGCTTGATGATGGCGATGGAATTCCAATGGACAAAGAAGAAGCTGCTCGTTACTACAAAATGTCAGCCGATTCTGGAAACACAAAAGCAATGCATAACTATGCAATCATGCTTGAAGACGGAGATGGAATTCCAAAGAATAAAGAAGAAGCTGTTCGTTACTACAAAATGGCTATAAACAATGACTGTTCTTCTTCTTTTGTGGTTAATTATGACAAAGATGAAGTTGGGCGTGAAATGAACAATTTTGCATTGTGTTTGTTGAAAGGAGAAGGAACTCCAATGGACAAGGAAGAAGCTGCCTCTTGTTTTAAAAAAGCTGCTAATGCTGGCAATATTGATGCAATGTACAATTATGCGTCAATGTACTTTTATGGTGATGGAGTTGAAGTTACAAAAGGAAGAGCTTCGTATTTTTACAAAATATCAGCTGACAATGGAAATCATTATGCAATGTACAAATATGCAGTAATGATGAAAGCAGAGAATAATTATAAAGAAGCCTATTTTTATTATATTAAAGCAATATTGGCTGGCAATGTGCTAGCAATGTGTGATTATGCGGATTTGTTAATGACTGGATACAACGTCAAAATGGATAAACAAAAGGCAGAAAATTTGTACACAATGGCTGCTGATAAGGGAAGTATTTATGCTTTGAACGCTTACATAAACATCGTCAGTGAAACCAGTATCAAACACAGATATGATATTGATCATTATTACATGATGGCAATTGAAAAAGGAAATGCTCAAGCAATGAACAATTATGCCATTAGAAAATATCATCATAATGACATCTTCGAAGCTGTTCGTTATTTCAAAATGGCAGCTGAAAGAGGAAATGTTGCTGCAATGGTTAATTACGCTAACATGCTTTATACTGGTGATCATGTTAAAGCTAATAAAGAAGAAGCAATTCGTTACCTGAAAAAGGCAATTGCAAGAAATGACTCAAATGCAATGAACAGTTATGCATTCTTATTAAATGCTGAAAAAGATGCAAATAAAGAAGAAGTTGTGCGTTACTATAAAATGGCAATCAAATTTGGAAATGCAAAAGCAATGAAAAATTATGCCGATATGCTCAATGAAGGTAATGGAGTTGCACAAGATAAAGATGAAGCTGCAAAGTTATACAAGATGGCTGCTCAAAAAAATAATAAAAAATAAATAATTCAACACAACTTTTTCACTAAAAAAAGTTTTCATTACTTTAAAATTGATTTTTATTAAATGTTTATTTTATTTGTTTTGTTGCCGTAAACTTATTAATGGGTCTTCATTTAGTTGCTTTGTTTTCTTTGAATACTTAGCAGCATATATGTAAGCTAGTGCAATAATGACGAAAACAAAAATTCCACCACAACAGCAGCAAACAGAAATAATCAGTTTTTTAAGAGTAGCATTTTCAGGTCCAATTGGTGATGGTGGAATTGGACCTGAATTAATTTGAAGCTCAAGAATCAAAGCTTCACGAGGCTTCAAAGTGAATGACTTATTCAAATACATAATTTCATTGGTCAAAATATTCTTAAATTTGATTCCATTTTGAAGAACTTCTTGATATTGCTCAAGCTCAACAATATGGTCATTATCATTACCATTTAAAAATACAAGAATAGCTTGATCTTTATATTTTCTTTGATAAGCATACACGCCAGTCATTGGATAAAAGTGTTTCATTGAACCTTTTGAAATCACTTCATTTCCTTTTCTGTAATTCAGAAGAGTCTTCAAATAATCAAAAGCTTCAGAACGAAGAGGATCATCTTTTCTTCCTTCTTCAGTGAAATAATTAACTGTATCATTTGGCCAACCACCAGGAAAATCTTTTCTCAAATAACCGTCAGAAATTCCTTTTTTACCAGTCATTAAAACTTCGGTTGCATAATAAATTTGAGGAATCCCAGGAATTGTCAATAAGAACGCCATCGCTTGTTTATAAGCCTTTAAATCAGACGGTTGTTCAAGGAAGAAACGATCAGTATCATGATTCTCGAAAAATCTCATCAAATTACTCACGTTGCTATACAAGAAGTCGTAACTCATGTGATCATGAAGATTATACATTTTTTCAGAATTAAAAAAAGTGTCATGGCAAATATCCATTAAATGGAAATCCATGACTGTTTTTAAGTATGTTTTATTCAAATTATATTTACTTCCCATTTGCCAGAATGAAACAGCAGCCGAATTTGTACGAAACGTTTCACCTACAATGTTAAAGTCAGGATATTGATCCAAGACTTCTTTTGCCCAATTTGCCATGAATTCAGGAAAAGCATACGGATAAGTGTCCATTCTAATGCCATCGATATCGGCGTATTCGATCCAAAAAATAGAAGTTTGAATCAAATAACGTGCCAGATACAAATTTCGTTGGTTCAAATCAGGCATCGATTCAACGAACCATCCTTTTGTAAGGATTTCTTTATCATAGTCAGAAGCATAAGGAGAAAAAGCTGTAGTTAAATCATTCTGTGTTTGAATGTACTTGTCATAGTAGTTGAAGAAGTCTTTGGTCGGTGGATCAAGCATCCATGGATGTTCGCTGCTGACGTGATTGAAAACAAAATCTTGAATCATTTTAATGTGATGTGAATGGCATTTTTCAACTAGTTTTTGATAGTCCTCGTTTGTGCCAAGTCTAGAATCTACTTTGTACATGTCAGTGGCAGCATAGCCATGATATGAAAGGCTTGCAACGTCGTTCTCGAGTATCGGCGTCAGCCAAAGTGAAGTGACACCAAGTTCTTCGAGATAATCTAGATGATTTTCAATTCCAAGAAGGTCACCACCATGTCTGGCATCTGGATCTTCACGATCTACTTTGTATGGATACTTCATGGGAATGTTGTCATTAGATGTATTGCCATCGGAAAAACGATCTGGCATGATTAGGTAGATAACATCAGTAGAATCAAATGTTCGTGGTCTTGGATCTCTTAAGGAACGTATTTCATAAGGAATAACATATTTTTCTTGTCCATTGATTAAATTAATATTATATGTGCCAGGTTTAACGGAGTTCATGTTTAAATATACAAATAAGTAATTAGGACTGTCTAATTTTGTACTATTAATGATTGGTATTGATGATATTGAGACGTCGAAATATCCAATATTTGTTCCATTAATAGTAAGTAAAAATTCAGATTTTTTTAATCCTGAAAACCATAATGGTGGATCAAATTTAATATTTTCTTGACTT